GTTGTCTCAGGCGACCCGTGCGTGGCGACTCCAAGCAGCCCTCCTGGACCCGCTCTAGCGACCAGGGGGACGGGGAGGCCACGCCGTCCAAGTCTGGGGTTGGGGGCCCGGGATGGGGCCCCGCGGACTGGCGAAGGCTTGTGGGTGAGAGCCACCCCCGCCCCACGCCCAGCAGGAAGTGTGACAGCCAGAAGCTCCCACATGCTTTGGGGTCAGGAGCACAGAGCCACCCAGAGGCTGGAGAGCCTGGTGGGACTGAGCCACAGCAGCGAGCACAAGCGCCAGGCTCAGGAGTTTGATACCATCGGAGGGGTGGGGGAGCCAAGGGAGGATTTTGCGATTTAGAAAGACGCCTTCCTGCGGAGGGATTAGATAAGTGGAGAAATTACCCACCTGTTTCTGGCCCCCAGCTGGCCCTGGATCGCCACTAACTCATCGGTAGCCCTTTGCCCACCAACTAACCAGTCATGAGACAAAGCAGAAAGGGGGCCAGGGCTAAAACGCCACCGTCATCAGATGGTGTAAGACTTGAAGCTACTTGTATCCAAAAAAATGCCCGTGGTCAACTTTTTTTAAAAACCCCCAAACTCGATCTGGCGCTGGACCGATTGGTGGGAAGGATTAGGATCGCTGAAGCCGCTGTAATTTAGTGAAGTGAGATCTTGAATGTGTATTAGGTTCTAAAGGCTGTGAACGGGGCAAAAATATGTGGCCAAAATGACCCTGCTGGGAAAGTGCCTCATCGATTTGTGGCCCCGTCTGTGTCTCCATCACTGTTGGGCAGATACTCCAATATTCAAGTTCCAATGTTACGGTTCTTGCTCGCTTGAATTTAGGGGTTGTAGGAAGTGAAAATAGGTATCTTTAAATACCAGCCTCTCCCTCAAGATGCAACATGGCCACGCCCACGTTCTTGCCGGACGACATTAAGAGCAGACACCCACTCAGAACTTCAGTGGGTTTATTTCTCCCAACTCCCCTCTGCTCCTGGTCATAAATTTCGTGGAATGAAAGGCAGGATGACTAGCCCTCACCATCTAAATATTTCTCTCGCGCTGACTTGGACGGGTGAGTGTGGGTGGTTTGAAGGTAGAGTGTGGTTCGATATCCAAAAGTGAAATACACGTGTGATGCAATTCCCCTCTCTCAGCGTTTGAGGAAAGCTAGTTCCTATCACGTGTCACTGGTTTTCACTCTGTTTGGCTCTAATGAAGCCTGTGATTTGGGGGAGCACTTTAAAATAAGTTGCTGATGTCCGGGAGTTAGGATTTGGAGTGAGTTTTTGTTTCTGAATTCTTCAGAGCTGGAAAGCAAGGGTGGAAAAAGCGGCCAGGAGCATCGCTTGTGAGCTGAAGACTGAGTGAAGGACAGGGGCTCTGAGAACGGGTGTGCAGAGTGCAGCAAGTCAGGGGCCAGTTCCAGAAGCTCCAGCCAACTGGAGGCTCTGCATGAGGAGATAACCAGCAAGGGATAAAGTCAGGGGTATTTCAGGCAGAAGGTCCATGCCCGGGGCGGGGGGCAAGAGCAGGGGAAACAGAACTGTGGGATTCTTAGAACAACTAAGGAAGGCCAGGGACCCTCTACTCATTGTTAGGGTCGGTAGGAGCTTGGCTCTGATGGCCCTGGGGAAGCCACTGAGGGGTTGGAGCAGACTGGGTTTTAGAAAGCATCCTGCAACATGGGGAACATGCTGGAAAGGATTCATTTGGGAGGCGGAGCCTCCCATATTATTTTGAGACGGTCTGGTAGCTTCAGTCCCATTAACCCGGTTAGAAACGACCTGGCCCGGCCTCTTGTCTTTCTGTGTCCTCCCCCCACAGCGCCGGTTACGTGGTAGGTCACCGAATCCGACTCTGGCTACGTCAAAGGGAAACAAAAATGAAAATGGGCTGGGAGGTGAGAGGGAGACCTGAAGTGGTGGCAGATTCATTGAGCTTTATCCGCCAGCCTCCAAGTAAGAACAGGAAAGACGAGATGCAGCCCCAGGACCCCAGGACCCCAGCTCCCGATGTCTGCTTAACCTTCTCATCAGTCCAAGTCTGGAGATGCCCCATCTGTAGTGGTTCAGATTTCCAGACTCTCCCGAGTTCGAGCATCTCATGGGTCCAGCGGGGATTCGGTGGCCTTTAGTCGTGGCTCGGGGAAAGATGGGGGCCTTCTCCGAGACCCCCCCCCCACACCCAGCCACCCCGGAGGTCCCTAGGACCGCGTCTCCTTGGCATGTTGTCTTCTCTTACCTTCTGGACTGAAACAGAACTTAAAACCGGCTTTCCATTTTGAGACTTTGTTCAATGTCTTACCAGTTGTCAAAGCTCAATAGATACTATTTTTAACCAGGCAGATTAAACTCTGGAATAGGAAGCTGTATGTAGTACACATACCTTACATGTCACTACACTTGTCCTTTAATACATGAGATTCTGCTCTTGTCCCAGAAGGTCAAGGCTCGTTGAGCGGATCTTTTGAAAAGCAACTTACTTCAAACTAAACCTCCCTTAATACGGACTCCTAAACCCAATCGGTTTTAGTTCTTCCGCTCATGGGACAACCAAATCCGAATGCGTGTGGTCTCTATCGGGGCTTGCTGTCGGGAGTGGTGGTCTCCCCACGGCCCTGCCCGCCAGGGGAGGGGGGAGGGGACCCGGTGATGGCTGGGCCCCAGGGAGGGAGGGAGGAACCAGGCCGGGTAATCAGGTGGGTCCCCACGAGAGGCGGAGGTGCCACGGGATGGTAGAATCGCTCTCCCGCCCACACCCGGCCTACCCTGCTCGATGGGCGTTTCCTCCCGTGTGAGAGCTGCTCTGTCCATGGTTCAGGGCAGCACACCAGGTGGCTGACCTCGCTCTCTGCTCAGGGACATCCGGGACGAGGAGCTGAAGAAGTTCTGTTCCCGGGTCGTTAACCTGCTGCAGAAGGACGAGCTGGGGCCCGACGCCGTGGACGCCCTGCAGAGGCTCTTCCTCATCGTGTCAGCCACAAAATACAAGAGGAAGTGAGTGTGATGGTCTCTAGGGTGCTGCGGGCCCCGGGCCAGGCACCCGACACGAGAGGCCGCAGGCGGATACCCGCCAGCGCGGGGCAGCTTGGCGCAAACGTACGCGTTTGACGCTTGAGTCTTACGTCCACTTGAGCCAGTGCTGAAGGCCCTCGGATCCAGAACGTTCTCTCTGCCTGCCGGACGGTCCGGGGCGGTGGCCCCA